AGAAAGCAGGTAAAAAAAAAAGAAGAAGAAGAAGAAGGAAAAATAGTAAGAGAGAAAGAGAGAGAGAGAGAGAGAGAGAAGGGTTGAGAAAGAAAATAAAAAAAAAAAAGGGACGATAAGAAGCATAAACATTCTTGTTAATTAATTTTCGAAACGATAATAAATACTTTGTGAGTTATTAATGATTTTCCGCAAGAACATTATTTTTTGAAATATTTTTTCCTTCGGTAAGTCGCGGTACACACAAGTTTGATTTTTAAATAAATAAATGAATTTAAGATTAAAAAATTTTGCGTATCGTATATTGTACGAAATGATTTGAAGAAAATTTTACTTTTTTTGTTCTCTTTTTCCTACAAATAAATAATATTAAATATAATAATAAAATAAATAATATAATAATATAATAAATATAAATAATATAATAATATAATAAATATAAATAATTAGATAATAAATAAATAAAATCAAATACGTATGGGGATCGTAGATAATTTTAATGACTATTACGAAAAACCCGTGTTAATGTCTCTTTCAATAAATTCTGTAATTATACGAAGATTGCCACTAGAGAACGAACACGTAGAATAAAAGTCATTGTAGTAAAAATAATTGAATGGTTTTTAAAGTCGACGAAAGAAAAAAAAAACAAAAAGAAAAAGAAAAGTTGTGGTGGACATGTATTATTCGTGTTTGTGGGAAAATTAATAAACGAAGGGAATAAATAAAAATAAGAAATAAAAATGAACGCGAATACAAACATACAAAATTGTAATTGCATTTTAACGCATTACATTCCTTGTTAAATCCCCGTTTGATTTGACGAAACATTTAACGACAGTTTTATTGTCAATAATTGCGAATGTCGAATAAAATTATAATAATAAAAAAAAAAATAGAAATATAGACTTGTTTTGTTAAACGTTGTTATTTAAAATGAAAAAAAAAACAAACAAACAAACAAACATATACGGAATATTAAAAAAATAAATGCAAAAATAAAATAAAATCGACCGTATAAATTAAACGTAAGTTAAATCAATAAAACCAAATCGTGAACGAACGAATACGCGTTTTGTGTGATTAATCCACAAAAAAAAAAAATTCACAAAATATCAACAGAATTTCGATCTCACTGGTATTAAAAAAAAAAAAAAAAAAAAAAAGCAGTCAAATGCTATTGCAAAAAAAAAACGCGATGGAAATATTATACGAACGAAAATTCCTCTGCTGTAAATCAGACGGGTGAGGTGATTAAAAAAAAAATTAATAAAAAAAAAAAAAATTAGGAATCGGCATGACACAATCAAACTGATACAATCGCAATTTCAAGATCTACTAAAAATTCCGACTACCTTTTTTTTTTATAGAAAAGGGAAAACTAATCAAATGCCATTAAAGTAACACAAGTCAAATAAACAGAAAATCCATTTGAGTTGAGAAACCAGAGAAACGAAATAAGAAAATAAACGAGATCAAACGGGAAAAGAATAGAATGGGAACAAAGAGTAAAGAAACAAAAAAAAATGGAATAAGTAAAACAAGAAGAAGAAGAAGAAGAAGAAGAAGGAAACGAGACACTTATATTGAGAACTTTCTTTTAAAGCAATCTAAAATATAAGAAAAACATTGAATATAACAAAATGAATAGAAAAACCGGGTTTTGTCGTAGCTAGACAAATTAAATTTCCAGTTTTTCGGTTGTGACAAAAAAGTACGTCCCTTTTAAAGGGTACATCCCTAAGGAAATTTAAATAACCTAACACATACAACGATTGTTTTAACATTTTGCGATTAGAGGTAAAAAAAAGTGAAAATAAATAAACGCGCTTATTTCATTTGTTATAACATTTTGTTTAATCTTAATACAAAATATACACAGGATATCTGAAACTTGTACAAAAACCTTATATATCAAGATTTATATTTTAATATTGTATAATTTTTCACTTTTATTTTTTCTTTCTATGGATTTAAGTTACTTTTATTATATATCAACTTCTTTTTATTTTTGTTCACATTTTTCTTTAATTAAAAGTACACGATCATTCGTTTAATAAAAACGCATACTCGTGTTGCTTGATTTTAATAATCCAGGAGGATAACTTTAGACCTTTGACAAAAACTTTCGTCTGAAGGTAAAAAGGTAAAAAGTAATATTCTCAAATTCCGTAAAAAGTTACATACGCGAATTTTTGACGTTTCTATTATTTTTTACATCATCTCAATTTTAATTTATGATTAAGTTATCTTAACAAATGTGTTTCACGTTAAACACGGAAATAATTGTTAGGAAATATTGGAAAATATATGGAAAGATGAAAAAAAAAAAAGAAACAAAAATTATACAATCTACTTATACTCGATAAATAAATCGAAACATAATCATCATATTATTTTGGATACTTTAATGGGAAATGCATAGTTGATCATTTTACGTATACAAAATAATCCTTGTAATAACTTTATAACGAAGTAAATTTTATACAACATGTAAATGAAACCTTTGGGAATTTGATTATTTAAGTTTGAGACATCCTGCATATAGATACATAATTTATTACATATATATATATACATATATGTATTTAATATTTAGATTAATTTCTGTATATATATATATATGTTGAATATACGAACCCAGAATTCTGAAATCACATCTACCGAACAAAGGGGATGATTTCTTTTATAGAATGGCATTATCCAAATCCTTGGACGTGCTCGAACGATGATCCTGATCCTGATCCTGATCCTTTGAAGTAGTCGTCGTTGTTGGATTCAAAGTTATCATCTCACAATTTTGTGATACCTGTACTTTGATACTCTGACTTGGTAAAAGACTTTCCTGAACTGTATTATTACCGTTGCATAATTTTTCACTTCGACAACCGTCTGTTAATCTTGGAGTACTGTTCGTTGAATTTCTTGAAAAACAGGGTAAAACCTGGAACATTAATTGTTTAATATTATGATTCAAATGTATCTATATATATTTGTGATTTTTTAATATTTAATGTAATATATAATTAATTATTTTGAAAATATAATCTTAATTGATTTATTATTGTAATATATTATAATAATATAAGAGATTGATTAGTAATCTTTTATTCTAATTCATTATTAAAACTATCTTTCATCTTTATATATCATATACAAACGTATAAATTAATATATTCATTTATTTGTCATTATCTATCTTTTGTAATAAATAATATTATAATTCTAACAAAAATATATCTACACTTTATTTAAATATTATTTTATTACTTTGATAAAATAAATTTATTTTTTTTTAATAATAAAATTATATATAATATATTTAATATTTTTTTAAAATAAAAATCAAAGTAATTACAATGTTTTTAAAAATTACTTTGATTTTCATGAAACATTGATTGACCTTTCACCTTTATCTTTTGATTAAACAAATTCTGAATTTATAGTCTTTGTGATTAGGTATGATAATATAAGTTCCTCTTGATTTAATTTTGGGTGTATTATGTCTTCATAATGTAATATTTGCATGTGGAATAATTTAAGGTTTAGACACATGTATTCATATATTATATATCTATGTATATAATACATATATATGTGTATATGCAACATTGTTGGTGTAACTTCACAGGATGACGTCCGTACAGTTAATTGCATGCACATTTACCCTATCGCAAGTGGACATTCGATCATCAAAATTTGTAATTAAACGTAACAATACATCGATGTAACTAACGACCAGAACAGTAACATATATATATGTGTGTATGTGTGTGTGTACTATATACAATCGATATCAAATTTCACTGGACGATGTCTCAACAGGTGAAAATTAAAATAATTATTAATAAAATAAATGACACAGTGATAGAAAAAAAAATATTAAAGATAAATCCAAAGATTTTTCCTCTAATTTTTATAAA